GAATTCCATGGTAAATACTGAGCTGAATGGCTATTCATAAAGGGCAATATATCAATGATCTTTCAAGTAACAAAAGAAGCAAGGAGCACTGTATGAGGTGTGGCCTGAGCCAGATGTGCTTGATATTCCATGACTCAAGTAGTACAATAATCACATTACATTAGGCCGTCTTAATGCTACTGTAATTGAAGCGCTTTCCAAAAGCGTTCAAGCTAGAGGAAATTATTCTGCTCCTAAAGCCCAGTCGTGATCTTGTCACGGCCTGTTATGAGGCTAGTTAAAGCAAGAACTCAAGTTCTAAAAGGTAATAAAGCTAAATAGCAAAGCTATTACTAAAATTTATATATACAATGTGTAAGGAGTTAAGAGGGTTTGCAAGAAACCTGTCATCAGTGTATCTATAACGCCAAAACGTCGAGGTTATCCTAATCAATCTTTCACTGCCAACGAGTCCGATTTCTACATAAGCCTCATCAAGTCTGCAAGTACGACCCCATTTCTACGACCACACCTCTCGTCAATTCAGTCTCTTGCCTCGGCTGGCTACCAGATACATGCCCACGAGATTATGAGTACGTACAGGAAGGTAAAAATTGCTGTACACAAATCTGGGGGGCTGGTTTGTATGACGGGCGTGTGAGAGTTTGGGAAAAGTGGGTAGGATAATGCAGACAGTGGATACAACCTTGGAAGGGGTTATATTTCGACTTATGGGCAGGAGCTTTTTACATTGAGCCTTGTCCGCTTCAAGACTTTGACTTTGAGAGCGCAGCTGACACCATAAACACAATCCAACGATGAGAGGCACCGTATTCCGCGCCCCTGGTAGTAATCTTCGGTAAAGTTTGAGTAGTCTGGGCATCTACTTCACTTTGGAAGGAGAAGCCTCTAGTCACATTTCTCGCGGTGCTGGTATGCAAGGATGACGAACGCATTCTTGGATATTGGAAATTTTTGAAAGCTCTTTAGTAGGTGCTCATGGATCATGATCACTGTTTGTGTAAGCGTGTTTACCATATGGTGTTATTGTCGAATGAAATCCAGAGCATGAGTGTCTTTGTCATCAAAAGAATCATCGAACATGTACCCACAGGACTGATCATGTATCATGGCTAGTTGCTGAATATATGTTAAATGACATAAAATAAATCTTCATAAGTTATTGCACAAATCGAACAAAAATCCTTCTTGAGGATTTTCAATTGTTGTGACCTATGATAGAGTAGCTTTCGGACAGTGATAAATGCTAGCTGCAAGTCTTGTCGACTATCCCAATATTGTAATCAGAAAGTCTGCACCGTATCTCTCTATGCTGGTCTGTCAGATCTCACTTCGCTCCGATTTATCCGAATTCTGTCTAAGCGTTTATCACTATGTGAGTCATGGAGAACGAAGACTAAACACCTTTCAGTGGCAATTTGTACAAGCCTGGCGGTGAAATATTTCCTATGAGCCGAGATGCTCTGAAGAAAAATGATAAATCAGGTCATACACGCTAGATTTAGAATGGGTAGCGGATATGGTGAATTTGGGGGTAAATACGTAGATATATAAAGACATTGTAGCCTCTAAATTGTAGGGCAAATCTTCTACCAAATATTGTCGGATTCAATCCTAGCCTCTCATTAAGCAATCTCATAAATCTATTTCCGTGTCTGTGATAATAGACCAATATACAAAGTCGACGATCAAGTTAAAGTCTATAAACATCCCTCACCGTCTTCATTTTCCTAAAGATTTCTTCCCGTCCGACTCAACTCGCAATCCTCTATACACTCATCTCACCGCCTACCAAGGCTTTCCCAAGATGACTTAGGGCGAAAGAGTTCCCTCAACCCTCCTCATCATCCCATGCCATGAAGTCGTTGTCAAAGTACCGGCCCTCATTCGTATACACGTCAGCTAAGCGCACCACAACCGCGACCGGTAACAAATTGTCACGGACAACTTGAGTACCGAATTTTGACAGCACTTTAGTCAGATAATTTGAAAAGGCCCGGGGCACCGATGCTTAGGTGTTGGAAATGGAGACACGGAGTGTTGTGGACGTATGGGCCCTCTATTTCGTCTAGGTTCCCGACACGATCTTGTGTGTTTTTAAGAGGTTGGATGGAGTAATATGGTAGCGCTTCAGGCTACCTATTGGACATATGAGCGGCTGTATGGCGTGGGCGCAAGGAGGTTATTGGGAGTTTTCTATGCCTACATGGCGCCACACTCGTTTATGCTGTGGCTTAGGCTATGTGTCGCTTACACTTGTACTTGTAGCGCACATCTCCCACACTTTTAGCTGTAATCCGAACATGACACTCTTTTAGTCATCTTCTACTTTCGTTCCATGAATATTGCGCCCATTACATTGCGCGATATTTCCAACATTAGGTCTTGAGCTATTATACGTATTTTTGGGCACCATAGTTGGTGGACGGAAGCGATTAGACAAGGATGAAGGGGTAGACAGTATTCAAATTTCAAAACTGCTAAGACTGGCAAATTGAGTTATGAAGTGCTACAATGGGGGACTCGATTTAGGGAGAAATGGGGTAGACCTTCATGGGCAATTAAATAAGGCCTCGGATGAAGAAAACGACCTCTTAGTGAGGCGAGGAGATGGTGGGACAAACAAAGCTGAGATTATGCGGGAGAAAGTAAATAATGGAGGGAAATTAAGGGATCGGGGGCTCAGAAAGCTGAGACTGGGAAAGAATCGGCGCTTCAACTAAATTCTGGATTCTCTGGACTGTCAGACTTGACATGATTCAGCACATGAGTGAAGCCTGGGGTGGTTTGTCAGTCAGGTGGGACGAAGGTCATCTGCCTAACAATAGCTAACCCGATCAAGCCCGACCCCGCCCGTACTCAAGCTCCCAGAGGAGTACGAAGGGAGCCACCTGACCAGCAAGTTAATATACTTACGCACAAACCAAGAGGCTCACTCTCTGTCTCTCATTCGCGCCTCTGGCCGACTTAGAGGTCGCGTTAAAATATCAGAGAGGTCCTATCAAATATGCCATGTACCCATTTGCATCCTGTCCGAGTCTAAACTGTTGTAGAACATGTATTCCTTTCGGAACAAGGTTTTTAAAACCATCTCCCACCGATGTGCGCTGTTTTTATGTTGCTGTAAAGTCAGACGATTCCTTGAGCGCCCAAAGCCTCCGAAGAGCAGAGGCGTCTTGACTGTAAGTTTATGCTGCAGAGCAGGCTAGTCCGACTCTTTGGTGCCGCCTAGAGTATAGAGGGTAGCGTTCTGCTGATGGAAAATCGGCTGCCATCTTTAATAGATTTGACTTGGGGGCTGTTTCTGCAACTATTTTGGCAATGCAACAAAATGATGAAATTTCTAGATTACTCAAGAGGGCAGATACTGTGCTCTGGGTGATGATGTTGGATTATCCCATCTCACGTCGCTCGAACATGTTTTCCCCACGTAAACCACGTTATTTTGATGCGCCGGTATGCTAATGCGTTATCTGTGTCAAATAGAAACAAACCGAACTTGCAGGCGGCTTAGTCTAAACTAGGTATTCGGCAAGGCTGATTGATGGATTTAAATTTAAGTCTCTACTTAGTCCGAGACCATGAAAGACTTCTTCAGGATTTAACCAATTGCTTCCCCAACTTGTGGGTTAAATTTTCTATAGAATCATGCCAATTTTATGCCGGCTGATCTTGAGGGCCAAGCCCTAGAGTCAGCGAGGTGAGAGCTAAAAGATTATTGGGAACTCAAGAAATACGTGTTAGTTCCTCCTCTCCTGCTTGCATGGTTCTGCATTGGAGCAGATCAAATCAAGATCATACTTATTTATTCAGCTTCTGGCTACATGTACACGTTGGATGAATCTTCTAGTGTTAGGGGCACCCTCACTCTGGGCCTCTTTCGCAAGCATCACTCTGCGGGTTTTTGACTTTAGCAGGCAGTCGACCATACCTTCACCGTCTTCGCACACCAGCATTGTGGGAAATGTGGTCGAGTCTTGCTGCATCCAAACCAGTCATTTCCTGCCATAAGCAGCCAAGGTATCAAAGCTGTGCAGACTCCACTTGGGATAGCGGCCTAGACGATATACCATTGTACCATCCAAGCACAAACGACTTTAAATGTTTGCACTCGGGCCAGGCCAGTAATGGCGTATATATTGCTCTGCGCTGCGAGAATTTCGTTCCATAGTGTCATAGCTAGTTAGGCTGCATACACTTAATGAATTAAAAAAAAGAAAAAGAACTTCGTTCCAATTATCGGATTGCCTCCCCTTCAAAAACAGAGCCAATCCTCAGCATCATCTTATCTCTCCTCGTTTCTCTCTATTCCATGCACAAGATTTGCCTTGTGAGATTTGTACACTGCGATTTGCTTCCTCCTGCGAATATCCTTGGCGTCGTCGGCGTGTGTTTTGAATGCGAGACCACGGACCGGGCCGATGAGGTATGCGGTTATTGAAACAGTATGCGCTACGTCGGGTTTTTTGATCTAATGAAACTTTCATCCGAATCGATCCTGTCGGCAGTGAAAGGCTGATGTGGCTGGGAGCCCTGAATCATTGATTCGTGGGCCACTGCAGAACTGTGAATTTCAATCTAGCTGGGCTCATGGGCAAATATTAACGCTCAGTCTGGCAGGGAAAACCTCTCGTAGGTTTTCTCTCTCCGTCCCCCAGTGCCAACATTTGCATTACTTTTCAGGCGTCGAACCGTTTGTCAAGATTCAAACTACTGGACGGGGTACAAGGTTGCTGTTGATGGACGTTCACACATCTGCTGTGCCCGCGGCTACACGGCCGGCCGTTGAGCTCACATTTACGTCTAAGCGGCGTCTATTCTGCCGCGCCACTAGATTCCAGCTCTAAACCTTTCGCCACTACATCCCATCCCCCTGTCACCGGAAACCAAATGTCAACGTCGAGGCTGCGCTAGTTTCGAAGAGCCCTCAAAATACCAATCCCATACAACTCGATCGAATCCGGAAATACACAAAGCTTCTCTCACTGTCGCCTTCAAAAATGGATTACTCTGATGCCTTGTATGTCCTCAACTATCTAGCTTCTGAAGGAATCTGTGTACTGATGTAGATTACCGCACTAGCCGACTAGTAAATCTAGGCGTTGGGGGACTGATGGCCTTTGGCGGCATCTATCACATTTTTCCCATATCAATGTAGGATGACATGCTCGTTCCGGAAGCGATAGAAGTACGCTAACATAACTTCCGTTTTTGTTAGCTCTAATGTGATAATTGGATTATACGTGGCATTGTTTGGTGCTGGTACGATTCTTCCACATCCTCCAAAAATTAGCTAACAAAATATCAAGCTACTGCCCTCCTCGGTTCGTTCTCGACCGCGACAAGCCGTCCAATTTTGCTTTCTTCTAACAAACTTATACATGATAGAATTCCAAATCCCGCCACAGATTTCACGCTATGCATCCTTTCTTTTCTCCTTTATTGGTCGTGGAGCCTGTATGTTAGATACTCTCGTTACTGTAATGGTGTCTAACACTTCGTGGTAGTTTACATCTTTGTCGGCTCCATCTTACTTCAAAATCACATTATGAATATTATCTTTGGCACCTTGATAGGGATTATCGGTGTTAGCTATGTTATACTCGAGTTTATACCCTCTATAGAGCCGCCACAAAATATGCGTGAGGCAGATGCTGGATGGGGCACGGAACAAGTATAGATAAGCAAGTCATAGGGCTTCAAACTAAAGACTCAATGCCACGAACCAATCAACAGCGTATTTATCTTCCATTATTCAGATTGAAACTGCATCAAGGCAGAATCAAATGAAGTAGAAAAGACCAAGATTAATATAGGGGGTGAAGGTCATCTCCCGGATGAATAATTCATTATACGTATTCAAATTGTACATATAGACTGTAAACATTTCACACCTGCACAATGCTTTGCACGTCAAATAATCTAGATTGTTCCTGTCTATTTCCTGTTAACCCTAGATTAACACCCTACGCCAAAACCAGCAGCTTTTACTTTGGACAATTAAACGTCTTTATAGTGAATAAGACATGGTGGCGGTCTCCACGTATACCCTTCGTTCTCCGTCAATATTAGATGCGATACAGTTTCTTAAACAAAGGTTTATCTCTGTGTAGATGTTAAAGCAAAATACTTCTAAATGTCGTAGGGACGAGGGAAAATGACTAGGTTTAATCGCACAAATGGTTTTCGCAGGCGCGGAAGCTGCCTCTCGTACAACTCAACTCCGGAGGCATATCGCAACTAAAGAACCACCCACCCATAAACTCAGATACGCATACACAAATTATGAAATGCTACTTTCAGCCACCACAAGTTTTCCCTAAGCCGACCGGACCATGTTGTCTCGACTCTTCCAATGATAAAATGCCTTCCCTGTATACGATGACAAATGAATCCGTCTTGGCCAAGGGCCATGACACTCGAGCGCCGTAAGTCCAACTCCGTGCAGTAATTTTTTTAATTTTCCTTCGAATACAGTAGGATCTTTATAACTTTCAAAAACAGTTATTTAATACTGAAAAGTTCAGATACAAGATATACTTGGCTCAACTTCTACCGTCGTAGACAGTGACCATATTGCATGCATAAAATTTGATCCTCCATGCATAGTTGTCGTTCGTGCGAATTGCTCCATTGGAGCTTCTTGCGCAAAGTTATCGAGGCCTGTATTTAGGCTGATTGAATCTTGGGTTTCAATCCATTTGGCAAAAGCCTCATCATCAGCCTCGGTTCTCCCACACGTATTCCCAACAGAAGCTATGATACTATGCGGAGTAATTGAGGAATATGGTAGAGCTTGGGCCAAATGAGTGCCACTTGCAAGGGCGATTTTACCGCTAATTAGGCGATGCGAATCACCTGATATGGGTGATGCAGGTGCGGGGACGTGGGCAGATAGGCATGGAATACCATAAGGATGTTGACCATGCGGTGTGTATTTAGTTCGCTCATCATCGAGCGGCGGGGATGATGCGTTTATAGGGGCCCAGGACCCATTTGGCCGCGGAGCCGTCTCTACTCCTTGCATTTGTTCACTGACTCCAGACACTAATTCGTGAGTGCTTGCACGAGAATGATTTTGGTCTTCTACATCTGATGGTGGCTGTTCGAACTCTCGATTCTCGCTGAATTCCTGCAGCTCACGTTCGTAATGCTTGTATTGCTCCAGATCTTGACCACGTTTGAATCTTACAATATAATCCCGATATACAGTGAAATAATACCTGTGCATTTTCTCCATACATTTGAGATAACCTTGGACCATGGTCAAGGTTAGAGACATATCACCTAGTAGTTTTTCAGCAACGGCCAACTGACCAGTACGTCGAGGAGCAGCGCGCGGTATAGAGGGTGAGTCTGGATCAGTTAGGTAACATTTCGTATCCATCTGGGGAAACCAGAGTACATAAACACAGATAAGTGCGGCTTGCCAAACTGCAAAACATGTACCGGGAGATTCGGGTAAGGCATTGCTGTCCTGACATGTTCGTACAATTTCTGTTATGTCACGAGCTGACTTCATAACGATGGCGGCGCTTTCTTCCCAAAATCCGCTAGGAATATCGTAATTTTCCGAAGAAAACTTGGCGGGCCCAAGTGGACCAGCAGGTTTTTCGCAACGTAGAGGTACGAATGGTAGGTATTCGCGGTGAAGAACTATTAGACTGAGTGCATAGAGAGTGTGTAAAGAGGCGTATGTAGTAGCGTTTCGTTTTTCTAGGTGTGCGGATAAGTTTGCTTCGTTGAAGGTTAAGCTTGGGGGTAGACCATGGTGAAAAGCCTCTAACCTTTGGCGCAACTGATAAAACCCGGTGTTTGGATCCCACGGCGGCATAGTCTCCTTGCGGCGACCACCTGCATGGCACCACTCTGAAAGATCCCCGAATATTTCAACTAGCCTTAGGTAACGACTAAGGATTCCATCGTCAGAAGAAAGTATTGCAGATGGCGATGCTGGCGTGAGGTCCCCAATTGGCACCCATCTAGCACTGAGGAAGCTTGTCGGCACATTATGAACAAAGAGAAACTGATCGTCAGAGCATGGTAGTTGGACAGCTAACTTATCAACAGCAATCATTATAGGGCGGGGCTGGCCCGCCGAAAGCATGCGATCCATTATAAAACAGCTCCAAAGAGTTCTTCGCCGCACCTCCTTTTCGATAGCCCCATCGCGCGGAGACATTGATGGCAAGGGAGTCCGGGCGTCAGCAGGAGGAATAGTTTCCGGATGGTCGATATTCGCGAGACCCATGGCAAATGCTAGCCGAATGGCTAATCCAACGTTGAGCCACGCGCTGAGACCACGGGTCTGGCCCCAATCATACAGCCCCAACATAAGCAGCGCTTGAATATTTTCAAGAGATGGACGGCTCAGGTGACGGATAGTTGGACCAAATGCGGTAGCGAGTGGTGCAGCGTAGAATTCACTGGCAGTCAGAGGATCCGACCCGTTTGGAGCATGGTGAGCGACTAGACCAGGGTGAAAGCGGGCCGTGAGGGTAAGTACACCTAGGAGTAGGACGCGGCCTTCTTCCAGGTCGGCCGGCAAAGTGTTTGGATCGCGCGGATGTGCGGCTTGACGCATCCGATTTCGAAACGTAGGTGGATGAAGAAAGGGCATTTCGGTGGCAAAGTGTAGCTTGAACAGCTCAAAAATTTCGTCCCACACCTTACGGGTGAGGACAGGCGAATCCAATACATCTTCACGCCCGCGATGACTCACTCGTCGAGTAGAATCTTCAATTTTTCGATTTCGTTTTTTACTTTCGCCCGATTCACCAACTGAGCCAATGCTAGACAGTACTTCGGTACGTTTGAGAGGCGGCGCTGAGCCAGCCACAGGATATGTGCACTCCCGATTACTTTGAGCGCATGATTTGCAGGTTGAATTTGGCCCATTATTGACACCTAGAGAGTCGTAATCAGTGCCTCAGTTCGCCTACACCAGTGACTCACTCACACTTGACTTTACTTCGCCTGCATCGCGCGCATGCAATCGAGCTTCGGACCATCTTATGGGGTTTTTTGTCGTCTGTAGCACCTCTCATATTTCCCACCAAATTCCCATTTTCGTCGCCGCGATGGGCGATGGGACTGGGCTCTTCACTTGACACGATATTTGTGTGTAAATGGCTTGGTGATGCTGGATGAAGATATGGCGATGTCTGATCGGCGGGTAGATGGAATGCTTCGGCGTAGCTACGCTTCGGAGTTGTTGCACGCGAATGGCTGGCGTTGAAATCGCCAGGCGTGGTTAAGGGCGACAGGATCGCGGCGAGAGAATGCGGCGAGGGAATGGTGGCGGTTAGGGGGTCCTTGGGAGACCCGTGTTGATGATGGTGGCAGCAGCGTTAGCGGCAGCGAGACAAAATGTAGGCCGTCGAGTAGTGTGGTCAGAGTTATTGAGTATGAAGTGCATGAATTACATGCAAGACAAGAGGCTGACAGCTAGTGGTGGGTGAGCGAGTGGAGGGCGAGAGGAAAGTAGCTAAAGGTGAGAAGGTGTCGCTCCGGGAGAAGCCGATGACGATGAAGTGGTCGTCAACTTGGAGGGGGTGTTAGGGGCAGGAAAAGGGCGACGGATATTGGAGATGAGAGATTAACTGCGCTCTGCCGTCCGGGACGAGAATAGTGAGCGTGACACGGGCGGACCCGGGGCAACAGCGGCCGCAATCCGGAGTAAGGAGGGGTTAGGAGGAAAGCAAAAGAAGAGAAACGAAGGCGTGGCGAGCGTGGTGGAGTTATGAGGAGTGGGGAGGTGGTGAGCTGTTGGAGGATTGATGGAGAGAACCACGCAGTCGGATAAGTCGGATGGCCGGATGTGCCTTTGAGGTGACTTGAAGGCGGAGGGGCGCGAAGGATGCTGGGAGCTCGGGAAGGAGCAAATCAACGGGTGAGATGTGCGGTAAAGATATTGCTTGAGTGGGTGGTGACACCTCCAAAAGGTGGTCGCATGTGCCGTTCCGTGGAGGACGGATTGGATTATTCGCGGAGGAGTGGGAGGGAACACGGCACGAGCTCTTCTGGGCCACGAGCCGTGGTTTGTGTGATGGCGTGGAGGCGATGAGAGGGGCCGAGACACGAGATGTATCTGGGGTCGGCGCCACAACCGATAGGAGACGATACGAATGAGTAAATGACGGCGACAAGCTGACGCAGAGAGCTGATGGAGACGACGGTATTTAGAGACGGGTAACAGGCGGGTGTTGAGAGCAGAGTGCGAGTGGGTGAAGCAAAGTTTGACGGGGACAAGAGTCACGGCCGGCCTGGACAGCAGGACGCAGAGGGTGATGAGAATGCAGACGAAAAGTCGAAGACGGGGGACGGGGGACGGGGGATGAGAGATAGGGGATGGGTGCAATGTTAAGGCGTGTGTGAGGATGTGGGGGGGAAGGGGCGCCAACTAGGGCGGCGGCAATCCGGGTGAGGTAGCAGGGACATTGTAGCCCGGACTGGAGCGGATACGTCTCAGATAGCAGGCTCACGGGCCGAAAAGGGCGGAGATGGGAAATTAGAGGTGGAATGTAGAGTAGCAACTACGAAAAAGTCAGTGGTAAGCTGATGTTGAGGCTGGCGGCGGGCTGGCATTTAGTCCAGGGTCTTTCTTGCCGGCGCTGCCTTTGCCCTGTGAGCTCTGGTGTCCCTGTGACCAGCCATGCGCTGCAAATTTACTCCTTCAATCTTCGCTTCGCTCGCGGGCCCGGGAAAACTCAGTCGGGGATTCTTGCTGATTTGAGGCCTGATACCTCAGGCTTCCAAGTCACTTCTGCCTGGTGAACAAGCAATGAGCAGTCGGCGTCTGATCGATATCACGGCAGGCATCCGGCCGCCGACCTACCCACGCCCAGTCCCCTCTGCCTTGGGGAATCGTGATTTCGCCGCCTGCTTTGCCCCCTCCCCACTCTCACCTCCTCCGGCATCATCTCCATCACCCGTGCAGAGTCTGAAAGCCTGACTAATCCCTCGGTCGACCCTATCTCGGCCTGATCTCCTCTGTTCACCATTGCAAATCAGGGAATCTTTCCATGCCGTCTGGACTTTTGCACCGACATCTTCACCAGTCCACCAGGCTAAGACTCTATCGTGCCGCATCGTCCTAGCAAAGTCTCAAGAAAGTCTTATCCAAGCCCCTCATCCCCCCCCATCTACCCATGTTCCTGCTCCGGGCTCGCCAGTCAATTGGATCGCTCCTTCCGCGTTGTTTGCTCCGAAACAGGGCATCGCTCCGTCACCCGCCCGCTCTTGCTTTGATGAATCTGCTTCTCTGCTTCCATCATCATCATCATCATCATCATCATCACCGTCACCATCATCGCCACTTTCGCCCGACTACATTTCCGCTCACGTACCGTCGGTGAGTGCGGGCCTAAGAGACCAACGGCCGCTTACCAATGTGAAGATGAGTGAAACTTTAAAGCCTCACATGGGAAAATGTCAAGACTCTGCTTACCCGTCTTAGTTGCTAGTCGCGCTGCCTAGCTCGAAAACGTGTTCCATTCACACATGGCCCATTGACGGTTGTACACTCGGACTACGACTCGGACCTGCATCGCCACTAAACAAGTAAGCAGCTGCCGCTTGCCATCCCCTTTCCAAGGCGTCACTCATCCCTTTGACAAGGTCGTGTCGGGTGAAATGGGGTCCAGCCCTCGGTCCGGTGGACAAGTTCTGCTTAGCGACAGGGTAAGGGGTACGAAAAACGAGGGGCTCCCCCTGTCTGGATAGCAATTAGCGGAGTCGGCGCGTAGCCGGTCCAGATCCGTTGATCCCCCTCGGCTGGTTGGTTGAGAGCAGACTTGTTCGGCCCATTTGAATTAGTTACATCCTCGAGGTGTCCGCTAACTAAGCCTATCTTGGGGCCGAGAGCGACATGCGCCAAATTAACGTGTGGTACCAGACGAATGCGTGTAGATAGAGGCTTATCAGGGTGTGGATGCATCTAATCGATGCCGGGTAGAATGCAGATAACTAAAAGATTTGCAGCGTATAACAAGTGAGCCGCCGCGGCGGGAACAGCAGAGGATGATATCTAACTGACCCATGCCAACATTAGGCCGTTAAAGGTCCTTGCTTGTAGGGGGGCATGACAGCAAGATCTCTGCTCTACCAAGATGCCATGAATAAAATATTACTACATCTACTGCCCACTCCTCCCAATTGATCGTGAGCCCGACCATAACCGCCATGTCCTGGCGAAATTCGACCGTGACCGGACCCAGGCAGCCAAACAATCTAGCCGAGACCGCTAACCAGCGCAACCCAAAACCCCGGTCGTCCCGGATAAGCCGACGCAGCGTCTCATGTTGTCTCTCCTTCGCTCCTCGGTTGACTCCCTCTTCGTCAGGCTCATGGCTGCAGCAGCTGCTGGCTATCCATATTAGGCCTAGACTCAACATGCCCTGCATTGTTTCCGAATCAGCCCAAGATGATACTTCGGGGTGAGGAAGACGAAAGCTGAAGAGCCCCTCTGACCCGGTGACACGGCAACCGCAATTATCGGCGCGCGGACAAGGCAACACAGAAAACTACAGAAGTGCGTCTGTTCCCTATGCCGTTCATCACCCGGGCAATGCTTGGGGCTTAGTTCCAGCCCGCCAGCCAGCCAGCATACGTGATATCACACGGCCCCTGCGCCCGGTTTCCGACGTCTTTTAGACTAGGGCTCGGGATAAGGGTCGAGGTTGGCCGTTGCCGTGGCCTCCCATGGCGACTCAAGTCTCGCAGCAGCGCCGCCAGCCTACACATCTCTGCCCGGGTGGCAAGAAGATCACCGCTGCCCATCGGCTCCAAGTTTTGCGGTGACCACAAATCTTGATCTATTTCAGCCATGCGCAACTCCTGCTCCCGGTTGCGCCATCTCAACGCCGATTTTAGCCACTGTGCTACAGCTGTCAGGGGCTAAGCTTCCGGTCCATACGGGATCGGCGAGAACAACTCACTCACACGTCTGACTCGCCACTGGTGCGTGGCGGAACCTGATCCACCTCACTGTCGCTACCGTGACGGGCTTATCATCACTCCAACGAGATGCGCCGACTGGCGGTAGGCAATAGTTGGCACACGGCAGCGTGCGCATTCTAATAATAAGATCCAAGGGGAGCTAATGATGACCAATAAAAGAGCCGGGCCCAATCTAGGCCCCATTCGGGCCCCACACATGCCCGTTTAAGTTAATCTTACCTCAACCGGCCGAAGGCGGCCAGGAGAAACGGATGAGACACTGAGGCGAAAGATCGCTGGACAACAGCTGAGCGCCACATCATCCGCGAAACATCCTGATCGGGACTAGTCTCGGTGATCGAGAAAAACTTGCCTCTCCCTGGCCTTGGCAACACGCGCCGCAATTCCAATTGCGGCACTCGGCAGCCGGGGTACGGCAAAACAAACTTGACCACGGGGCCCCCAAGACGGCCCTTCAACTCTCTTCATGAACTATTGCTGCTGCTGCTGCTGCTGCTGTTCATCCTAGCAGTCGCCCCCCTCGCGTCGTTTTGTCTAGCCCGAAAGACCCAGACGCTGCGTTTGCTGATCACGATCATCACCACACCGCGGATCGCCCAAAACTTGAATGAGAAGAGATGCGCTCATTGTGCGGGTATTGTGGCTAAAGGGTTAAAGTCTCTAATAAACCTCGCCATCGGCAGCCACAACATTGTGCCCTTGTTAATGCTCGTTGATAGTGGTTTTAGATCATTCGGCACAAAATTATCCCCGTCATTTCGGCGAATTAGACAGCAGCCTAGTCTTTCAGCGGGCAAGGTACCGTGCGTCAGAGATGACCTCCGTTGGGACATCTATCCTGGCACCCCGAACCGTCATAACACGCGCTGGCAGCCGTCGAGATCGTCGGCCGGCCTGACAAAAATGGGCTCTTCCGGGCACTTGTTCCGTAACTTGAGAAGACTCCATACAAAGAGCCCCTGTCATCAAAATTGCTGCCAGTCGCTAGAGTGCGAGGGCCCGAAAAACATTTGGTGTGCAGGGCGTTCATGCTCAAGTAATAGCCAATTCGCGGCCAAATGATACCTCGTGAAACCTTCCTCATCTG